TGAAACACAGATTCTACGAACACATTCACACAGTATTGAATGCTTAGTATGACATCTCCGCAGTACGACATCTCCACATATCATTGTACAGGGACGCTGGACCCGATTTCCAGCTGATACTCGTCATATCATTGTATCCAGCAGGTGCACCTCCCCACCAATAGATGGATCCTTCAACGATGGGGCCCACTTAATGGGGATGCTCTTATCACCTCATTATGTGGGTTTCCCACATACGAAGTTTCAGAAAAAAAAAAAGAAAAAAAAAGGAGATCTGAGGGAGGATACAGGCTGAGGTGTAAACCAGTTCCGAAATATAAGCTGGAAGTCCCTCTTGAGACAGTCCGCTGTCTCTTCCGCCCCTGGCCAATGCACCTCCCTGCCTATCCCCCCAGCCAGTCCATATTAAACCACCAGTACTTGGCCCAGCTATGAAGTCCGAGCCTTGGCCGACCAGTGTGCCGAGCCGTGCCGAGGCTCGAACTACCCGTTCTTCGCTTCCCAGACCTAGTGCGAGAAAAAAACGGGAAGAAAAAATAAAAAAACAAATAGAAAAAGCAAAAAGAAAAAAAAAAATAAAGCTTTCATTTCTGCGGGCGCCAGAGAGAGAGAGAGAGAGAGAGTGGCAGCGAAGTCGCCGGGGCCCACCAACGGCCATCTCGCCAGTTCTCTTCCCCCCCCCCCCCCCCCCCTCTCTCTCTCTCCCGCAATCTACGAAACCAGATCCATTGTCTTTCTTTGTTTTTCTTTTTTTTTTTTTTTTTCCTTTTTCTTTTCCTCATAGGAGAAGTTTCAAAGTGTCATCCCGCAGAAGGTGGCGCCCAGCCTTGCAGCAACGACCGGGCCTTCCCTTGGCCGACCCCCTAAGGCCACGGCGCGTTAACGGGGAAAGCCCGCGGCCGATGTGTGCTCCAAGTGCTGGTTTAAATTTGTGAATGCTTTGCTGAATATCCTTTTTTTAATGAAATAGCATTAATTTGGCTTTGAGTGATGACCAGTGAGCCCTGATTTCAGTTTGCACAAAATGTATAACAAGCTCTGCAACGTCCAGTCCCTCCAATCAAACTCCCTCTCTTACCTCAACACAGCGCCTGCACCAGATGGTCCACACAATCGCCTTTCAGCCAGTCTCAAAGAGATTACTCTAGAAATTAGTGAGGGTTAAATCCAGGGGTTCCCAGTGGCCTAGTAAAATTGTCCTCCAGTCCCAAAGCCTCAGTACACTTGCAATTCTCTCCAAATACAGTCTTATCTGGCTGGGGAGTTCTGCAGGGGCGAGGTCCCATTAGCAGTCGGATAGGAGTGTGGCTGATCCAGTGTGACACTGAGTGGCAGCGGCCAGATAATTTCATTACGAATTTCTGGGCTGAGAAAACAGGAAAAAAGCCAAAAAAAAAAAAAGAAACAGAGACCTCCCACCGGAAATCACGGCAGAGTGCTTCCCAGCCATCAGATCACAAATGATCTGATGGTGGTGGTTGCAAAAACAGTGAACAAAGTAACTGCCACATTTTCTGGAATAAACTGGACTTCTGTCAGCAGTGATCCTGACACCCTCCATATACTCCGTGATTGAAGGAGGGCTCCACCCAATGAGATAATTGCACAACAGCAAGTAAAATGCTGANATCCTGACACCCTCCATATACTCCGTGATTGAAGGAGGGCTCCACCCAATGAGATAATTGCACAACAGCAAGTAAAATGCTGAAAATCTTCTATCCAGTGGGCTAAGGCCGACCCCAACCTCGTTTGGGGTTGGCCACACCCCCAACAGATTGAAAAGATTGTGGCGGGAAGCTGTCTTTGCACGGACATGCCCAGTGTTAAGGAGAGGAGGAGGGGAACCAAGATCTCCTTACTTTTTCGGGTAATACATGTAAAACACTGACCCTGGGATCACGAGCACTGCACGGCAGGATTTGGGTCACTCAACTGCCCCACAAACTTGTTTCTATCCTATCCCGTTGCTAGTGGGACCTCACCCCAGGGGACTGAGGGGAGGGGTTGGGGAAAATTGAGTGGCCAGCCCAGGAAGATAAGGGGGTTCCTCCCAAGAGGAATTATCACCTCTGCTTTTGGGAGTGGTTTTCAATTCAACCAGGATCCTCCATTAGATCTCCATGTCTTTTGCAGACCCTTTCCCACCCTTTCTCTGGTTGATCTTCAATGGGATGGACGGGAAGGGAATTAGATTAGAAAATCTTATAAATCTTGGTTTTTCAGTGTAATTCAGATCAGGAAGGCTCAAGCAGATTGCAGTTGAGTTTATACACGCATATATGGTGAGGGAAGATGCTAGAAAAGTCGAGCAATTTCAGGCGCCCTATTTAAAGGGTGACAAGACACTTCTGTTACCATAAAGAAAAAAAAGTTTAAAAAGAAAAAAAAGGAAAAAAAAAGGATGATAATATTGTTTTTCTCCTTTTCTCAGCAACCTGCACAAATTATTCCTCTGGATACCAGAGTCATCAATGCTGGCAGGCCTTTGCTCAGTCATTTTTCCTGATATCCTGCTCAGTTAATACTCTGGAATCCAGAGTAATCAATGCTGGCAGCTTTTCTCCAGATACTGATTTTTCTTCTGACCTTCCTGAATTCTTTTCTGAATCATTCTGTACAAGGGACGCTGGACCTGTTTCCCAGGAAGTTATGCTCCCCACTAATAGATGGCGCCTCTCCCCAGGTGCTAGCAGTGTCTGCTTTAACCAGCAACACTAGCACCGGGGGGAGTGTTTTGTGAAAAAAGAAAAAAGAAAAAAAGAAAAAAAAAAAGGTGTTCGGCGCAGTGACCAAAACAGTTTGTAATTGCATTCGAAACTGCTTTTTAGCAGTTTCGTCAGGGCCCAAGTTTCAATTGCAGTTGAGACTCGGCCCGAGTTTCAATTCCAGTTGAAACTCGGCCCTATGCAGTTCAGTCAGGGCCCTCGTCTATCCACGAACAGCAGATAAACAAAAAAAAAAAAAAAAAAACATCCCTTATGCTGTGATTGCGGTCCGATACAGGATGTTACAGTACTTGTCTGGAACTCAATGAAGGGTGGAATCCGCCCTGCCTAGCTGGCAGGGCGCTACACCTCACAACAAGAAACAAAAAAGGAAATGGACCTGTTTCATGTTCCTCACTTCCTGGCCAGATACATTCCTCAAAGCACCCGTGACCTGAGGGCCTTCCTGGCGTAGGTGGATTCCAAGTTCCTCGTTTCTTTACTTCTTTTTTTTTTTTTTTTTTTTTTG